TAAAAAGTGATATTTTCGACTTCTTGTTAAAATCGCAAGTCCAATTGCTTTGATATTACATATATAGGTACTACATGAGGACCTCTCTCAGATTTGTTCATTTTGTAATGATATCTTTAATTCTCTAAATTTGGTGAATGTTTTTGTCATTTTTGGTAAAAGGTGAAATTTTCAACTTCTTGTTAAAAATCGAAAGTCCAATTGCTTTGATATTACATATATAGGTTCTACATGTAGACCTCTCTTAGATTTGTTCATTTCATGATGATATTTTCAATTCCCTAATTTTGGTAATATTTTTGTCAGTTTTAGTAAAAAGTGATATTTTCAACTTCTTGTTAAAAACCGCAAGTCTGATTAATTTGATACTATACATATTGGTACCTCAGATAGACCTCTCTCAGATTTGTTCATTTCATGATGATATCTTTAATTATCAGATTTTGATGAATACTATTGTCATTTTTGATAAAAAGTGATATTTTCGAATTCTTGTTGAAAACAGCAAGTCTGTTTGCCTAAGATAATATGCATATTGTTCATTTTTAGCTCCGCTGTCGACTTTGTCAAGCGGAGCTTATTATATGAGTGATTGTCCGTCGTCCGTGTCAATGTTTTACTTTTTCGACTTCTTCTTGAAAACTACAAGCCTGAATGCTTTGATACTTGGTGTATATGTACCTTGGGTAGACCTCTCTCAGATTTGTTCATTTTGTAATGATATCTTTAATTCTCTAATTTTGGTGAAGATTTTTGTCATTTTTGGTAAAAAGTGATATTTTCGATTAATTGTTGAAAACCGCAAGTCCAATTGCTTTGATATATTATACATATAGTTACTACATGTGGACCTCTCTCAGATTTGTTCATTTTCTAATGATATCTTCTGTTCTTTAATTGCCATGTTTATTGCTAACAGCGGAGCTATCTCAGCCGACAGGCTGCTTGTCTAATGATATCTTCAGTTCTTAATTGAAATGTGCATTGCTAACAGCAGAGCTATCTCAGCCAACAGGCTGCTTGTTTTTATTTTACCCATGTGTTAAGCTGACGATGAAAATTTCATGTATGACTGAATATGACGAGATGTAATTGTAGACTTGTTCACCAATATTTCTGAATCACATTGCAGATAGTGCTCTGTGAACGGTTGATTTTGTTTATCTGTTTTCAATCAATTTTCAGTCAAGGAATTGAATGAAATATTAAAATGGTGAAGTGGTGTATGCATAAACACATTGAATTATTATTTGATGGCAAGCATACAATTTAATTTCAAATTTTTTTTTCAATATCCAAATTTCCAACGCTCGAATATAAAGTCCTAACATTTCAAGGAAAATTGATTGGAAGATATATTTTCATGATCAGTTTATTTTGGTGCCCGATGTAAAAATGAATAAATACTATGTAATTATGAATCTTGATTTCAAAGTTTTTTTCTGAAACAGTAGTTGCTCACATACCATTAAAAACAGATAGGTTTTGGGTCATATGGTCACATGGCTGTATATACATGTATAATATTGAGATGAAAAGAAGTTCTAAATAAATCACATGTGTGAGACCTTCAGTAACACTTATTGGTGGCGTCAGCTCCTTGGCGTTTAATTGCAGTGAAATACAGCTTTTCCTTACACAATCATGCACAAGTTCGTGGGCCGGTTATGAATGGCCGGCTTTAGTCAAACTGCGATTTGGACGAAGATGTCTATGGTGAAAATAATTCAATGTTTTAATGATCCAGTATACAATAAATACAGTGTATGTGGTTTATATTCACTTATATGGTATTATGATTTCATTGTTCAGGTTAATCCTAAGAGAAGAATCAAAGTACAAGATTTATTGACCCATCCATGGGTCATAATAAGTTATGGAATACCAATAGACTGGCGTTCTAAATACAAGGTAAGTGTACATGGGATTTATTTGTCAATGTATTTATAATGAATTGAATAATATTAAACATGAAATTTTATCAAAGTAAAAAAAAAATAATGTTTGGGGCTATGGTGGTTTCATAAATACCATTGTAAATCAATTGATAAGCTTCAGGAGCAGTAACTATTAGGATGTGTTGCTGAACATCAGGGTCGGTGTTATCTTAAGAGTCATTTCAAAGTTAGTTGAATTTGTCCTTTAAAACATTTGGTATGTATGTTTGTGTAACTCCTAAAATAAAAGAGTTGCATGTTTACTAGTGTGACCAATTTTACTATACATGTATACATATATGCTATTCAGTAACCATCTACTGAGGTATTTTTAATAATTAAATAAAGGATTGCACAACAATACACCTACCTTATAAACCACGTCTTCAAGTGGTGAAGCATCTTTATTATTTATCATGGTGACACTAAGTCTGCTCAAAGCATTAATATTGCTTTGAACTATAGTCCTCAATCAATGAAGATTGTGTTTTTGAGAGACAAACATCATTACTTTTGACATCACAGAAGTGTTTCCTCACTTGAGTGCAGTTATAGGAATGGCGTATTCATACATGTACTCTGATTTGCTATCACACATGTGTCATATTTAATATCCTCTGTGAAAGATGATAATGTATAGTCGGTCTTCTATTTTTAGTCTTTTGAAATAAAGGGGAGTTTCTTACTTCCATGGTTTCTGAGGGTAAGTATTGCTATCCAGGTGTAGTTCAAAGTGTGTACTAGTCACAACAATCAATTCTTATAAAATGATAATGGCCCTCCTTTGGAATACCAATGTAAGTTCTCTTTGGTTCCTTCATAAAATGATAATGGCCCTCCTTTGGAATACCAATGTAAGTTCTCTTTGGTTCCTTCATAAAATGATAATGGCCCTCCTTTGGAATACCAATGTAAGTTCTCTTTGGTTCCTTCATAAAATGATAATGGCCCTCCTTTGGAATACCAATGTAAGTTTCTCTTTGGTTCCTTCATAAAATGATAATGGCCCTCCTTTGGAATATCAATGTATTTCTCTTTGGTTCCTTCATAAAATGATAATGGCCCTCCTATGGAATACCAATGTAAGTTCTTTTTGGTTCCTTCATAAAATGATAATGGCCCTCCTTTGGAATATTAATAAGTTCTCTTTGGTTCCTTCATAAAATGATAATGACCCTCCTTTGGAATATCAATGTAAGTTCTCTTTGGTTCCTTCATAAAATGATAATGGCCCTCCTATGGAATACCAATGTAAGTTCTCTTTGGTTCCTTCATAAAATGATAATGGCCCTCCTATGGAATACCAATGTATTATATAT